CGCTTGTCCGGTTACGACAATATGGTGGCGATGGCAACACCATGTGGATCAAGGATAAGATATCCCTAATTCCTAGTCCAGTAGTCCACTCCGTGACGGTGTGAGGGGTCATCTGGTCACCGCTTTTGCAAAATGCAGGGTCTAGTTGTGCCTTCGTGTTTCAAAGATAGTCCTTGAAGGCATCTTCTGGCGGAGCGGACGTGCTGCTTTATGTCTTGACCCTCTGGCTCCTTCTCCGATCGATGATGTTCGACCAATTTATGTGTCGTGGGGAAGTTTATGTGAGGTTATGTTTCCTTAGATATGACGGATCTAGGGTGGTTCTCGAGCCCTCTTTTGTCATGTTCAACCTGTTTCTATAGTAAATAAAATCATTTCTGCTTAAACCTAGTTGCACCAAACTCATCCTTCAAGTTATGAATAGTAATTGTGTCTAGACGTCAAGGCCCATGACTAGGTTGAACAACAGATTGTATATGCACAATGAACCTAAGCAACCACCACTAATCCATCTGCAAAAGACAAAATCAGCAAGTTTTACTGGTTCAACCCTAAGCCCTAACTCTCCTCTCTTACAAATATTCTGTTTCTGAAAATATCCTTAAAAACACATCAAATCCAGTAGTAAAACACATGAATAACTATTCAAAGGCATTGGCCTTATCTCTGGTTAAACCATATCTTCAGCAAAAAGATCCTTCTTTTTCCAACCAAACTTCTAAAGACCAGATTCAGACCACGACATTTCCACACCATACAGAGCACAACTAGCATAGCGAACACATGGACATGGAGCAGATCCAACACATGGAGATGGAGCACTAACACGTCATGGAGATGGAGTAGAAGAAACATGGGCGAGGTTGTGCTTATTCAGGCATGGACATGGACATGGAGGAGATGGACAATGAGGAGAGCTTACCTCTGGAGGGCCGCGGCGCGTGCTCCCTCCAGCGCTCTGTTGCCGTGATCGCCTCGGCTCCAACGTTGATGAGAAAGCAATGAAGCAAGGGTAGTGGGAGGAAGGAGAAGGGGAAGCGAGAGAGGCATACCCAAAGAAGGAAACAACGAGGCGCGACCCACCATAGGAGGCGGGCGCAGTGACTTGGTGCGGCCAGACCAGGTGGGCGTGGCTAGACCTGGTGGGCACGGTCATCGGTTCCGATTCGGTGCACTCAAGTTAAATCAATTCAAAATAAGAATAAACCAGAAACAAAACCAACAAAAACCGTGTACGCGGCCTGCCAAATGAGCACCAAATTGAGAGAAACGGCAAAATTGGGGGTAATTTGTGTCACAGGTGGAAAAATTAAGGACCTACATGAATCCACTAAATATACACAAAGTATCATTCCATTGGCTCCCTTTAGAAACCACCACCTCTTCTTTTCTTGTGGATATAAAACAAGCAACAATGCTTGACGATGGCGTGTTGATGCATCTACACCTGCTAGTATATACAACATACAAGGCAACGTTTGCAATAAAGCATTGAGTATAAACACGGTAAGAACAAATGTCTAGAATCATTGCAACATCTGACCGTAATGAGGTTGCAATCTCACAAGACAACATATGCAATGTCCAAATCCCTAGATCACTAACCTTGCCGTCTTAGGCTCATGGGGGATGAATTTAGCTCACCAGAACCCCTCGTGAGCCGCATCCATTGAGCCTAAATTCATCCACCATCTCCCTCGAGCATGACGACTTGGAGCATCCCGGTTTGAAGCTACAACTCAAGCATAGTAGTGAAAATCCATGACATTGAGCTCCACGATCTTTGAGAGAAGTGGCTATGAAGGAGGAGCTCGCGACCTTTGGGAGAAACGACGGTGGAGGAGGAGCTCAACGCCGCGAGAGAAGGAAGTAAGGGCGCTCGAGGGAAACTAGTGTTGGGAGGAGCTAAGGGGTAGTGTTGCGTTGGCAGACGGGGAGGGGTTAGGGTGTAAATGCACTACCCCGTCGTGCGGAACAACCGACTTAACCGATTTGGATAAGCCGGTTGTAGGAATCATTTTCCATAACAAAACAAGTCTTTTGCAAAAGCATCAACTGGTGGGAACTTTTTCAAAAAAATATATCAATTGGTGGGAATTAAAGAAGAAACGAATTGAACACACATTACCAACAACAACCACTACTAGAACCCAATAACGTCACCATATGGCATGAATGATGAGCTATCTCAAAAGAATGAACAATAGAACCCTATAACGTCACATTGACAGACTACAAATGACATAGAAATTCACTTATAAACTTTAAAAAATCATAAATGATTCATTATAATTCAGAATGTGGGTGATTCTCACACCTAAAATCTCATAAGCTATAAATCCACCCTAAAATTGAACTTAACGTCAAGGTTGGGTTGTACTCCCTCCGTCCCAAAATCCTTGTCTTAAATTTGTCTAAATACGGATCTATTGACTTGATACATCCGTATTTAGACAAATCTAAAACAAGAATTTTGGGACAGAGGAAGTACTAAATTCAATCTGAGAGTTAAGCGGTGCGATCTAATCAACAGAAGCAACAATCATCAACAAATAAGTAGGAAATGGCCAGAACTGGAGAGCTAAGCGATTGCTCTACAAGCATTCGGTCCTGATTAATTAATGATCAGTTGCGGGAGGAACTCATATCATATCCATCCTTGCATAAGAGAAGAACACCAAGCACAACCACAAGAGCACTGCTTAATAGTGAACCTAATTTAGGCAGCCGATCGTGGAGCCCTGTGGGCGAGGAAGACGTCGGTGAGAACGGTCTTGGACTGCAGCGACGCCTTGAGAATCGCCAAACCCTGCAGATCAACATGCAGTTGTTCACACACTCAAATCCATCCATCTATTGTGCTTAGGCAATCGAGAATTGAGGATCGATGGTGGTGTGGGATTGGTCACCTCCTTGTAGCCGATCCGCACGATCTTCTCCTGTAGCGCGCTGAGGTCCCTGACGCGGAAGGTGCTGAGCAGGGTGATGCTGGAGATGGCGGACATGGGGGTCACGGTGAGGTTGTCCGTGACCGTGTACGTCACGACGCCCTGCACGAACCCTTTCGCCCTTCCCGTGGCGGCGGAGACCGCCGCCTGCCCAGAGCCGCCGGAGCCGGACCGCGCCCAGTACATCTTCTTCGTCATCGGCTTGGCGCAGGTCGGGCACGCGCCACCGCTCGCGTCCGTCACGTAGTTGTGCTCGGGGCGCCCGTGGCCGTAGTCGCGGCTGTGGTCCTCGCCGCACCAGAAGAATCGCTTGGACGCGGGCGACGCGACGACGGGCCGGGCAAGCAGAGGAGGGGGATGCTGGAGGGGACGGCGGGGCGGAGGAGCGCGCCGATGTCGGCGCCGGGCAGGAGGTAGGCGGCGGCGTCGAGCCTCTGGACGCTGGCGTAGAGGTCGCCGGCGCTGCCGGGCATGGAGCGCCTGCCGAGCAGGCGGACGGCGGTGCCGACGGGCAGGGCGAGGAGGGAGAAGAGGAAGTCGACGACGTCCTTGCCGGCCTCCGCGAACAGCACGCGCCCCGCCTTGGTGTCCACCAGCAGCTTCATGCTCATCGCGGGGGCGGGGCTCGTCCCGCCGGTGGTGGTCGCCATCCCTGAGATCTCTCGCGCGCCGAAGAGAAACAAACAGGCGGCCGTCCCCCGGTGGTGTACTATCAATGGCGAAGCCGGTCGCTGGGGAAAGCAGTCAAATATCTGGCGTGGTGCTCCAACCCGACCTGCTCCCCTGACAAGCCAATGGAGGACGGTTCTTCTGCTTTTCTACTGAAAAGGCAGCAAAACGGTGGCAGGCTTTCGGAAGAACGGGACGGGACTGCGTTCCTCTCAAAAAAAGGTCACAAACCAATGCTCTCAAGTCTGAAGCACGCAAGGCAAATCTCGTCCTAGTTCACATGGTCTGTTTTGTTCACAGGAGCGATTTTCCATAATCCTCATGGGCAGATTTCCCGAACGGTATTGAATGCATGCAACAAACGTGATGCCAGGGGTGAAACAGAGAGGAACGGTTTCCAGTGATGGATGCTGAATGCAGCTGCTATCTACGAGATTGGTTTCCAACACTATATATGCAAGGAAAAGCGCACGGATCCAGCTAGAGGAATTCAACTCCCTGCAAAGAACAAAACCGCATTCCAAACCGCTTAAAGCATCTACAACCGGGCGCCTAATATCCGTCTCATACGCCTGGACAGACCGTCCGGTCACTGACCGATCACAAAATACCGACCCAACCGGAGCTCTCAAGCGGGTCTCAAACGCTCGGGCTGACCGGCACCCCTCATATCTATCCCAAATGTAGGGCGGATATGAGGTGGTCCGGGTACGCCTGGGCGCGCCCGCCGCATCAGCCCGCCCAGCGTTGGCCCACCCCGACCCCACAAAAACCATGTCCGGCAGAAACCCTATCTTACTCCACTCCGCTTCGCTCCCCTCCCCTTCCTGAATGTCCCATTCCCCAATCTGCCAAATCCCAAGCGCCGACGACCATGTCCAGCACCGGCAGCCACTCTGACGGCAGCTCCGGAGAAGAGGAGGAGCTGGCACTCCGTATCGCGTTTGAGCGCTCGCGGGTCGATATGGGCGGCAGCTCCTGGTCCGGTGCGACGCCCCCCTGTCGCTCGTCGCGCCAGCGCCGATGCCGGTGCCGGCCCTTCCCGCCCCGCACTCGGATCTGCGAGGCCTGCCAGATCTGCTCCTCCCGCCCGACGGCCTCCTCCACCTCCGGCCACTGCTCCGCGCGGGCAGCGCTGGGTTCTAGTGCCTGCTCAGCCGACGCCGCGGATCCGGACTCCGGAGTTGGAGGCACGAGCTGCTCGCCGCGAGAGGCAAAGGGCTAGGGAGATGTGGGCGGGTCCAATGGGTCTGCGCAGTCCGCCCGCCGCCGCCGGGTGCCCAATGAGGAGGACCGTCTCTTCGAGTGGGCGTGCCGCCGGTCACTGACTGAGGTGGAGAGGAAGGCCCGACGACTCCAGAGGCTCAACGCCAAGCAACTCTGGTTCGGCATTGAGCAATCCGAGCGGGAGGCAGCGGAGGCAACGAGGGAGGCGGAGAGGGTGGCCAAGCTCGATCGCCAGCAAGACGACATTGTCCGGCGCTTGCAAGGCTTCATCATCATCTCCGACTCCTCCTCCGACAGGGTCCCACCTCCTGCCGCGGACTCCTACAGTTGCATCCGCGACCGGAAGGGCAAAGGGCCGGCGAGGAAGTGGTGAAGATTCGTCTATCAAGTTTTTAGTTGTAGTTTGAACTTGTATGTCGTATTATGTGTATTATGTGAACTTTGGCTGTCTTTCTGTGATCCAGCTGTGATCTTTTGATGAAACGATTGTGCATTTGTATGTCCGCTCATGATCTACGTAGTTTTTATCAACGTTGCATGGTCTAGTCTGAAAATAGGGGACGGAATATGAGATATGTGGGTGTGGAGACGCGAATATAGGGAGTGCCCGGTCAGTGCCCACAGACGCGCCCGGGCGCGTCCGCGGTCGTTTGAGGGGCCGGATTTGTTGAGTCCGGCTGTAGATGCTCTTAGGGCGTGTTTGGTTGCCTGCATAAGGCCCAACCAGGCCCGCACGGGGATGAAAACAGTCTGTTTGGTTGCCTGGGCTGCATGTAAATCTCAGGCCATACAGAACTTAAAGCAGTCACGAGTTAGGCCCCCGAGCTATTGCCGAATTGGCAGTTTCTTGGTAGCCAGGCTCAGCGCGGCCACGCGTGGCTCTTGGATGCATGCCTCGGGGAGCGCGGGAGACAGACGAGACGTCTCAATAACTCCCCTCTCTCTCGTGTCACCGCCCACGCTCCATTCTCACCACTCTCCCCCACTCTCCTCACCATCCATTGATCTCCTCTCCTCCGATGGCTCACCCGCCGCCGCACCATCCCCTCACCCCCATCGAGACCAGCAGCAACCATATCCATGAGAGGTGGCTTGCTGGCCTAGCAAACTCCGGCATCGACCTCATGGCGGCCCTCCGCGCGCCGTCACCCATCTGTTGTAGGCCCCCTAATTCGGCCAACGCGGTGCCGGCCGCTCCGGCTCCGCCGCCGTATCCGGGCCTCATGGTCATGTGTTATGAAAGGACATGCGGTGCCCCCATGTGTGTTTTTGGTAATTGATGACACTCTCTATGGACTAATGGTTGCATTGAGTTATATTTGAAGGATTTGTCCATAGGCACTTCTTGAAGTCCATGTGTTGGTTTCAAGGAGTTTATGAGTTGACCAAGGTGCTATTAAGGAATATCCAAAGATTGGTCATGTGAGTGTTGAGCTTATTGCAAGCATGTCTTGAAGAAGAAGATTGTGTGATCATTCATGTTTACCTTCAAGACATCATCTAGATGAAGAAAGTTGGAAAGTTTCAAGGTTGATCAAGACTAAGTCAAGAGTGAATCAAGTTGATCAACTCACAAAGCATAGAAGATGTACCGAGAGGGATCAAGGGATCCCATGGTATGGTAAGCATTGCCCATTACGCTTTGTGTACTAACCCATGGTATTCATGAGAGTTATTTGTGGGGTTAGGTTGCGGTGTGCAAGTTCAAGTGGAGCATCATGAATATATCATGCTTCAAGCTTGCCGTCCATTGTGGCGACAATGGACTTGTGAAGATGTGTCGAAGAGTGGCTCACCCATAATGGAGTATGGGGGAGAAATCAACTAGTCTTCATCGTGCCGACACAATCAAGAAAGGTGGTCCAACTTGAGGGAGTCAAGATCGTCATCATCTAGCTCAAGTGGACTATGTGCAAGGCAAAGGTTTTCCCTTGATAGGTCTTCTATTTTACCGGTCTCATGGTGGTAGTTGGGAGACCGGGTTATAGGATCGATTGCCGTACTATCTAGGGGGGATCTCGATGAGTATCTTGATCGTATCGTTCATAGAGAGCTCAAACCATTGCATCCTTGCATCATCTTTCTTGGTTCTTGTTTGGTTTTATCCTTGTGAGATTTGTAGCTTATGGTCATCTTCATGATAAGCTCGGGTTCATCGAAAACAGAGTTCACATGCTTCTTCTATTGCGTTTTAGGTGTTGGAGGTTTTACCGGTCTTATTCGAGGAAGGGTTCTCACCTTTTTCTTACGGGCATTTTCTAAATTCCTTCTTATTATTATTTCTTTCAAGATTGTGTTAGCCCTTGTCGCTAGATTTCGAACAAACTTTGTTTCGTTGAATTCGGAGTCCGTTTGCAGAAGTTATGTCAGTTTGGGTGTCCTTAAAAAGGCTGCAGTGGTACTACCGCTCACGGGAGCGGTACTACCGCTTGGAGGGGATGTAATATTTTACTACCACTCTTGGGAGCGGCACTACCGCTTGGAGTAGTACTACCGTGGCTACTTCCGTGGTTCACTACAAAAAAAAGACACATCTGTGACATTTTGGGCCGAACAAATTTTTTTTCTGTCATACTTATGACAATTCTATGACGATAATTGTGACAAAACCCGGTATCATCATAGATGTGGTGGGCTCCTACTTCTATGACAAAAAATCATGATAGAAAATGGGCTTTTCGTCCTGGGCGGGCCGGAGACGCAGCTGCATGACATTCTTTGGGCCATCCATGAAAGAAAAAACCGTGGTGGAAGCGAGGGCGAGGAAAATATCGGGGAGTTCCCAGTTTACGGTGGGTGGTCGGGTGCCGAGCGATGCGCGTTTCTCTTGTACCGTACGCGTGTGCGTGCGAGGCGTTGGGCTCTAACTGAACCCGAGCGAGGCATCGCCTAACTGAACCCGGGCGATTGCACAGCAAGCTACGCGTTACTGAACCTGAGCGATCGAGCGATTCCTTCGCTACTGTTGCTAACTGAAGCCGATCGATGCTGCCTCTGTAT